TTTTTAAAAAAAAAAAAAAAAAAAAAATGACAATCGGTATTTCAAGTGTGGTTTCCTTATGCCAGACTTGATAAAAGAAGAACTTTAGCAACAAGCATAGAGAGTAGGAGAAATCAACATCCACTTTTTCCTAAAACATTTGATTTTGAAAAAAAAAGCAATTTAAAAAAGATCAAAATCATCCACTTCAAAAATTTCCAATGCGAAGCTGTTAAGGTCAAGCAAAAGAATTAATTAATGAGGTACCATTTACTAGGACCAGTTGCTTTCTGTGTAATGCTGGCTAATTTCATAGTGTGCAGTTACCAACATAAAATAAGCCATATTGATCACTTGCCAGTGACTCTGAAGTTGTCTGTGACCCTGCTGTTCACACTGTGGATCATTATTGTTCATATTCATTAAGTTTTCCAGCTGCACGCTAGTTAGTTTCTTTTGCTCCGAGGGCTCGCTCTTCCTCCAACCATCTTTTGATTCTATTTCTTTGTGGTGTTAGAGGCCAGTGTATCCTCAGAGATGAGTTGGGCCCAACTCTGGAACCAGTTCAAGACTGGTGCAGTCCTGGGACTGGGACCGACAATCAGCTGATTGTCAGTCTCAGCCCAGAGATCACTCCTATTCATATCAGTCTGCATGTGCCCAGCTTTCAACTTGCCAGTGCAGGGGAAGCCCAGGAATCATGACAAGTAATATTGGTGCAATTGGGATCTGATCCAATCCCAAAATCATGCATCCTACCATAAACATGGTATGGCAGGAGGCACAAATGTGGGGATAAAGGAACCAGACCCCATCATGCCATTAAATGAACATGTGCCAGGGGCCTTAGAGGCACATAATTACCATATTTCCTTGACTATAGGACAAGGTCTTTTCCCCCAGTCAACATGGGTAAAAGAAAACCCATTTTAAATACTCATATGAAGCAGAAGGGGGAAGCAGGCAGTTGCTGTGGCTCTGACTGCCTCTCTGCCCAGGTTGAGGCCAGAGTCAGACCCACAGCAGCCTCCTGTCGCTTTCACTTCCCCTCTATAGCTTCTGCTCCCTACCCACCCCCTTCCCTCCCCTTTACTGTCAGGTGCAGCTTGGCTCCAGCTCAGGCTGGGGACTTTCCCAGGCACAGAGTACATAGAAACTCTTTCCCAAGCCCAGTCAATCATCAGCACTGACACTGCTGTATGGCCAGGCAAGGGCTGAGCTTCTATGTGCTGTGCTCTGGGACTGAGCAGCATCTGACAGTAAAGATGGGGGGGAGGGTCAGAGGTTGTGAGGAGCTAGGGATGGGGGGTGTAGTTAGCAGAGGGGGCCGGAAGGCTGTAGGGAGTACTAGTGGGGCAGAGGGCAAGGGGGGGCACCTGATTTCCCCACCACCAGTCACTGCCTTCCCTGCTGTATCAGTGGAGGTGGCAGGATTCATTAGATTATAAAACAGATTATACATTTTGCATATATATAATCTCATTATTGGGGTGTTCTCTTATATTCCAGTAAATACAGTGACTAATTAGTAGGTTATTCCTTTTGGTGATAGTGTCACCTATGCACATTTGTGACTAATTTAATACATATGATCTTTTTCATCTGTGATACAGGCCTATTGCAATTAATGAATAGCATGAATTCTTTCCAAAATATAAAAAGAAAATCATAGTTCAGCATCGACATGAGAATCAAATGCAGGGTTTAGGTGGCTTTCAATATCTACATCACAGGGAGCATTTATCTTTCTGCAGTGATCCACTGGAGTGATTTGTGACTTCACATAAGAGCAATGTCAGTAAAACCTTTATACCACATGACCTACAAGCATTTATGCTGGCGCTCAGATATTGTGGTGCTTATGTCTTTCTGCATGTACTTAGACACCTTTATACACACAGCTAATACCCACAGACACTCTGATTACTTCAACTATGGGAGCCATTTTCTCCCTTAGTCATCTTCAGTTAAGTCAGTGTTGTTTTTTGAAGATACCTGTTTCACATTTGGTTTTGCTGCTTGGGACCATTTTGTAGCAGTCACAGTCAGAAACAGACTTTTGAATTGAAGCCAGTGTCCAATTAGTGTCCTGAAGAATTTTTTTAAAGAAGCAAACATGGCCAAGAAATACGTGCATCTCCAATGATGGAAAGCGACAAGCTTCTCTTAACAAAAGCGAGAAGGGAAATAGTATGGAATAGATTTGTTAAAGAAGGCAAATTAATAGAATCCTCTACCTCTACCAGAGATTAATAACTTTATAGCAACTAGTCTGCGAGTATATTAATCACAACAACCATCACACAGTAAATCTAAGTAAAGGGTGCTATCAGAGAACAGCAGAGTGAACAAACATTGCAGCAGTAATATATAGATGAATAAATCTCTTACTCTGCAATATCTGAGGCATTCTTTCCCCCTTATCGAACAAGCATGTAGTTGGCGTGAATCATTGGTTCTGCTGCATTGCCTTGTTACTGTGGGAGACATAAGTTATCTTAGGGCCACCTGTCTTCAGGACGGATGTTCAGTTGCCTGGCAGACGTTATATTTAATAACTACCTGACAGGCCACAATGCTGCTCCTGGCTTTCTCTGGAGGATTTTTTATTATCAGCCCGTGTAGCTGAGTTTGTAAGCCGTCTCCTTTGAAGAAATCTCCCATCCGTTATACACCTTCTGAAATCTTAAAAGGATTAGAAAGATGACAGTCTCCATCCATCTTGAAGCAGTGGAGCAGTCAGAATGTTTATAGATAACTTCAGGTTTCGTTGCTGTGGTCTCTCTTAAGTTTCCTTAACTCATTTTCTGGCTGCTTAGGTTTGCAGTGCCCAGGTTGGTGAGAGACTTGCCTCTCTTGCTCTCTAGGGCTTTATAATCTGCTCACATTCAGGACACTTTACTGCGTGTAACGTTGACCCTCCGTGCAGCATTTTCATTGAGAATGCACAGGTGCATCCAGGTCCAGGTTTGAACTGAACCATGCACACACTTAGGACGTGATGACTGCCCATGCTCGGGTAGCAATTTTTGCCATGTAGGTTAAATCCTACCCACTGCCATCTCTTCCTTGTGTGACCCTTAGTGCCACATCCATCCGGTGCCATGTTAGATCAAATGCTGTTGATCTTATCTGCATGGGCTCCTTTTTATTCTAATTCTAGTGGAGGTTACCGTTTTATACCCACAGAATATATTTCAGTGAAAAAATACAGTGAACGGCTTTACATGGCTGGGTCAGTTTTGTGTGCGAATCTACCCCCGTCTCAAAGTGCTTCTTCTGTTGTTGCTCAGTGATTGAATGTCATTAGTTCAGACTAAAATGGGATTGGGCTGCTTGTCTTGAACACGTATGCAATGGTCTTGCTTACTTTGGATGAGACTGCAGGTTATATTTACAGCACACTAGTGCCTAAAGCTTTCCCACTGTTGGTACACAATTTCAGCTGCAACAGTGATTTAGTTCCAACCTAAAAATACAATGCAGTCACTGATTTCACTGGATCAGGTACACCCATGCCAGTGTGCTCTGTTAGTGTGAATGACCCAGCACAATTTAACCCTTACTTGTCTGTGAAATGCATTGTAATAAATAACAATGCTGTCATATGGAGAAGAGACATTAAGGTCCCTGTTAGAGATGTATTAACATATGATGCAAGATCTTACCCTTACCACTGCATTAACCTTGATTTACTGTACCAGCTTTCAGATGCTGCTCTTCTACTTGGGTCATGATTAAATATTTCTTGTGCTTTCATATCTGCCTAATGTGCTGCATGGATAGGAACCTCAGTAAAAAGGTATCACTGCCTTATTCTCACAGGTGCTGCACATCCGGCCACCACTCCTTTTGGGCCTTCACCTCATCACAGCAGCTTCCTGCCTACTAGCCACTTGGCAGGTAAGTGTAAGTAAACCCTGCTTTCATATTTATTGTACTGTTTAAGTCACTCCCTGGCTTAATGATGTCTGAGAGACCATAGTTATAGATGATAGAAGCTTATACCCTCTCAGGGAGGAGAAGCGCTTTAGGAAGCCTCTCTCCCAATTCCCCGCAGCACAGCCTTCATTCCCATCTCCAAAGTAAAAACAAACAGAATTAATACATTCCTCTATGGCGAGGGATGCATAGTCTCAGGACTTGGTGAATGATAAGATGCTGTGCCCATCACGTGCATCTTAGAGTGAGACCTCTGTACAGATGAATGTGTGTGATGGGCTCAAGGGAACAATAGAAATTTGCTTCATTAGTTGCAGAAATCCGTAGGAGGCTTATCAAATGGGATCTCAAACAATACATTGTTTAAAATGTGTTCATGCTACATCCCTTCCCACCTGTTAAGTTCCTGGCTGGGTTTTTGTATTAGAGCTGGACAAATGATTCTTGGCAAATAATGATTCAGGAAGTTTTGCCTGCTCCCTATCTGGCTATAAGTAGACCTGGATTTCCTCATTCTGAACTGCTCACAGAATGATTTCTTCTTCAGCAAATTGCCCATGAGCAGTTCATTGTCAAAGTTCAAGCTGTGTTGGCTAATTTTTACAGCTACACTCACCCAATCCATGAACAGCACATGCAGTGTGACCTGGGAGAACTGTTTCTCACACAGACACTGATATTTATTTGTTTTCTTCACTTACCCTTCAGCGTTCAATTAAAATTCATTCTCTCAGCAAACAAATCACTAGATTATGCAGTACCAAAGTGAATTAGTTTAAAAATTCTAATTTACGTGTGGAAAATTTTGTAGTGAATACCCAGCTTTGATATTGAGATTAGGAGCTTTAGAGCTGTTCAGAAGTGTGTGTTAGTTAGTTATACTGTGAAGAAATGAATGCCCTGACTCGGGCATTACTTTCACATTAGCACAAGATGATAAACGGCCCTCTGAGGCTGTAGTCAGTAGAGGTGCACTGGTTGGTCCGATACTGGGTTGGCACCATAAAGAAAATTGTCTGTATTGGAAATCAGCCCGATATGGCCAATAAGTGGCCCGTGCATGTGCGCAACCACAGTGCAGCACATAGGCAGTGAGGAGCACTGCCAGGCAGCTTGGAGAGCTGCATTCAGCTGGTAAGTCTGATGTAGTGGAAGGGGAAGGGGAAGGGAAAGGGGTATGGGGAAGGCAGACCAAGGCCCCTGCAGTGAGGGAGGAGTAGGGCTGGGGCAAGTGTGGGACTGAGCCACAGCTCATTGGGGGGCGTGCTCCTGCAGCAGCGTGCTGCTCACACATGAGCCACTGTTCCAGCGACTCATCGGGTACTCGCCCGTTCATCCAGCAGCTCCCACCACTTGTCCAGGAGGGCATAGGGGGCATGCGTCCCCAGATCTGCTTGGGGCGGGATGGGTCAGGGCTGCATCAAGCTCTTCCCAGTAGCAGTGGTGCTGGAAGGAGGGTTGTGGGGGGCTGCAGCAGCCCATAACCCCCAACCAGTGCCGCTGCTGCCTACCACAAGCACTGCCCCACCCTGCTGAAAAGAGCCCAACCCATCCCATGCAAATCCAGGGGTACATGCCCTTCTCCCCATCCCTATGCCCTCCCAGACAAGTGGCGGGAGTTGCCGGATGAGCGCGTGATGTGCAGCGGTGGGAGCCGTCCCTCCCCGTGCCCCCCAGACAACCCAGCCCCAACCCCTGCCCCAGCCGCACTCCTCCCTTACCACAGGGGGCCTTGATCTGCCCCGCCACACCCCTTCCACCCCACCAGACTTACCAGCTGCACGCAGCTCTTCAAGCTACCAGGCTGGCATCAGAAATCGCATCGGTATCAGCCAATATGTCTCCTTAAAAATCAGCTATTGGTATCAGTCCCCAAAATCTGTATCTGCGCCCCTAGTAGTTAGCTTGCCCCCACCCACATATTCTAACATTTCTCACAATGGTTACCACCTGTGCATATGGTTTTCTGGCATCGTAACTAACAGCTCATCCAGCTGTACTCAGAGCCGGTCAAAAAGACTGACACAGTGTTGGCCCCTTGTGTACACAATATTGCTACAACCAGTGGAGCTGTGGGGACTTTAGTGAAAACAGGTCCACTTGTACAGTTCTTGTAGGGGATGGATGTCTGTAGTGATTCACTTAGGAGTTTGTCTGTGCATTACATGACCGACACTACAGAGATGTATACAGAAGCAATGGTGAAAAGGGACTGAGGGGTCTCAGGTTCTCATCCCACAACAACTGATATATTATTAACAACAAGAAAGAAAGTTAGCCCATATCAACCAGTATTTTCAAACTTGGGTGACAACTCATGAAATGTCTGGCCTCCCACTCGTTTAGTTATTAGTCCAGGAGCTTTTCTTCTTTTCTTACAACAAGGCTTCTGGGTTTTGTCCAAGCCTTATTTTATATTAATGCCTCCCTACAGCACAACTTGGTACACAGTCCAAATCAGACTCAGAAAGGGGCTGGAGAGAAGATCAGTGTACCAAGTCATCTTATGCCCTCCGGTTTTTCACAAGGCCTGCTCATGTCTGGTCACCATGAAATCACAATGGAAATCAGTTTGCAGCCTTTTGTGGATAGTGTTGCAGTTTAGGAGCTGCCACCGTAATTTCAGCTATTTGAAATGAATTTCTAGCTCCCTTCAGATTGGCATCCGCAAGTTTATTACAGCACCTGTTTGTTGAGCGAGCACTGAATCCCTTCTCCATTTTTAACATGCTGGGAATTTTCTGTGCAAAGAACCTTGCAATGAAAAGGATCAGCTTAAAGTCTGGCCTAATCCTACTTGGACTCAGACCATTAGAAAGGGAAGGGGTGCATTTCATTCTCTAGCATTCTTGGCTAAATGCCTGCTAAATCCCTGTTTGCCTTTCCAGATCCATTTAGCAGGTCAAGCACCTTCAGCGGCCTTGGGAACTTAGGCAGCAATGCCTTTGGAGGATTAGGCAGTCATGCTCTGAGTAAGTACTGGCTGGGTTACTGCAGACAAACATCCCTTCCAAAAAAGCCACATGCTAATATTTACAGCAGCTGGTGGTAGTTTTTAAAAAGTTATTTCCTAACCTCCATTCTCCTATCTGAAAACACTGCACCTAAGATTTCCAGGTCTCTGCGGTGGGAGCTCTTTTGCACGTTGTGCCTATCAATAGCCGTGCTTCTGTGTCTCTTCACCGCTCAAGATTGTTGCCTTGTGTGTTCTTAGAGGTGCCAGAGTTGCAGAAACTGAGCTCTGTTACCCTATGGGCGTGTAAAGTGACACCCTTCAACAGCGAAGATGCGCAGCAGAACAGCCATTGATACCTCTAAATCACTGGGCTGTGCAGATTTCCTCCCTGACCCCCATTGTCAGAATTGTACAATTTTAAAATCCATGTAGAGAATGATTTTCCATTAGCTGTAGGTGAGGCATGCTTGGCAAACACAGAGAGGAGAGCATGCACAGACATCTCATGCAAAGAGATGAGGATTGATGGAGAAAAATCAAGTGACTGGTTATTCAAGAAGGCCCACAGCCGAGCTCTACTCTTCCACGAAAAATGAAAGTCTTGTTTTCTTAACAGAAAGATCCCTTGATCTTCACTGCAGGAGTTGATCCTTTGTAACTACCTGCAGCCACTTAATGGCAGTGATAGGAACTAACAAGTATAGTCTTTGTGATGGATCCTATGGTGGAGGGGGAGGAGAAGAGAGAAATTCAGAGTCATCTCATTAAATGAATGGTCTCATTATGTTGCAGGACTTGTAATAAAAGCTTTCCTGATAAACTGTCTTAAAAGAGCGGCTGTGTCTTTCACCAGTTATCAGAGGTGGTTGAGCCCACCCCTCTACCCCAAATTCAGAAGTCTTGAAAAGATAGTTGTGGTTGTAATGGATGCTATGCAGAATTTATTCAGGATAACTTAGTCTAAATACTTCTTAACTCTTCTTTCCCCCTGCCCCCACCCCCCAACATTATTCTAGCTCACAACAACATATTTGCTCACAAAGAGGGTCCAAACCTGCAGAACTTTAACAATCCCCATGAGCCATGGAATAGGCTCCATCGAACCCCACCTTCCTTCCCAACACCTCCGCAGTGGCCCAAGCCAGGGGATTCTGAGCGAAGTTCCTCTGTAACAAACCATGAGAGAGACCGAGAACGGGAGCCAGAGAAGAGGGACCTTTCACTGAGTAAAGACGACAGAGAAAAAGACAGGTACGTGGCAAAGCACCCTTTGCTTTACCCATGTTTTTCTCCCCTTTATCTTCAAGTTCTCCCCCAGTGCCCTTGATTTTTGGTTTGATCAGAATCAAAAGGTTGTCTCTAAAGTGGCTGTCACTCCGGTCACTGCTGCCATGTGGGTAGAAATAAACACGTATTCTTCAACCTTCACTTGGAACAAGATAGCGAGCCAGTTCGTCCTTCCCCTCAGCTAATCACGTAGACAGCATCATGCAGACATCTCTAACAGACAGGCACAATGAATAAGAACTGCCATGAGCAAAACCATTTTTGTGCATTGAAATCATGAGGTATGCTAGAGTTTGTATGTCTGACACAAACTACTGTTGGATAGATACTGCCAAATACCATATTTTGTTGCATACCCCACGCACCCAAATAAAACATCCACCTTGTTTTTTGGAAGGCAGAATGTAGTAAAAAAGGTCTTTTTCTAGAATCCTGGCTGACTTTGAAAGTCAGACCATAATTCATATGGTCTCACTTATAGTATAAGTCTTCCTGGGGGAAAAAAAAAAGTGTGTCCAGGAATTGTGGCATCTGGGTGAGGAACTCTCTGGTACGGCAGGACAGCAATATGGCTGGTCTACTGCTTCTACTGTAGGTATTTCTTAATCGAAGCCACAAGCTTCATCAAGATCTTTCAGACTAGGAAGCAATTCACGCAGCCTTAGGGAGAAGTGGCATCTTGGCATAGTTCCTGCCTCCCTGCTAAAGATATGCACCCCAATTTTGGATGCCTGATTTTAGGGGGGGGGGGTGCATGTGGTATGTGAGTAAATGTGATAGCTTACATGCCTCATTTTTCCTGCTCAAAGAAACTGTTCTCATGCTGCAAGCTAATCTCACTCCCATGTATAAAGCATTTCCTCTCAAAACTACCAAGGTATTAACAATAAAAATCTGTTGCTGAAAAAGACCCAGAAGAAAAGAGACTGTGTGGGATTCCCTATTAAACCTTGCTGATCTGGTGCTACAGAAATGTTAATGCATAAACTAAGAGGGGAACAAAGAGTCATTAATTTTAGCTCCATTAGGAACAGGTCCATTTGGCCAGGATTCAGGAGAAGTAGCAGTAAGTAGAGCCACAGAAAGTAATTTTCAAGCTCCTAGAGAGAAATTCTACAATGGAAAAGAAATTTTAAAAACCAAAACAAACAAGTGTCTCTCCAGTCATGAGGCTGGCAAAGAGAACTTGACAATTAATTTCACTTCAGCAAGAATGAAACATAAAATACGTTAGGTTGACAGACCACAGATACTAAGTTAAAAAAAAAAACCTTTACTGTAGATTCCAAACTTCACCTTAATATTTTACCTGTGCTTCAGGTACTGCAGGAGCTTCCAGATTTACAACTTTGATCTTGAAGCCCTTTAGTTTATCTGCAAGAAGCTACTTCTTTTTTGTCTTGGCAGTGGATACCAGCCAGCTGCAGCTAGTTGTGTAGGCCTGGATAGGTGGTGGAAGAACATCTCACAAAAGGTCTTCCACCACCACCATTTGTTTCATGTAGAGCCTAGGTTTGTTACCTGCCTTGGCAGACACTGCAAGGGCTCTCTTTTGACCTGTGCCATTTTCAGACCAGAAGAGTTGTCAGTACTGCAGATGACAAATCTGTCATTACCAGCCTGAACTTGGTTTTACCTAATGACTTTTAAGATTAAGATCTTGCCCTGGGTTTTTGTAGTAATATATTTATGCTAAGGTAACCTGTGGTAGACTAACCTCCAATAGTTGGTTTTCATTTACCAAAGGAAGAGAATGTACAGAGACATGGTTAGCACCAAGCAGCTCTCTCAAAGCTTTGCTTCCCAGAAACTTGCTTGTGTGTCCAGGCCCCGAGTGTCCACAGAGGTTTAATGCACTTCCAATAAAGACTGAAAATTCACATCTTTTAGTTAACTCAACCTACATTTTCCTGAGTGCCCCCATAAAACATGGTCTTAAATCAGCTTCACTGATCTACAAGGGTCTAAAAGTCTTCAATGAAACAGTGTCAAGGGGTAGCCAAATTTAGAGTGCTGAAAAATAATCAGATGGGGATAAATAATCACAGAACTCCACGAGCTCCACCTAGATGTTAGTGTGCTAGTCCCTCTGCACATGAAAGCAAACCCAATAAAAAAGCTTGGGTATCATTAAGTTCCTCAGATGCATAATGCAGTTGTCTTGTACATCCTGTGGTACTTTGCATTTAAAGTGCCTCTCATATAAAGATCACAAAGTGCTTTAAAAGGTGAGCATTACTTATCTCCTTTTAGAGAGATGGGAGTAACTGAGGCACAGAGAGGTTAATTGACTTGCCCAAAGATGATAGTACAGCTGGGCACATAAACCTACTCTCATACTTCCCAGTCCCACTCATTACTTTTCTGAAACACCTTCCTCATTAAGTCAGCATAAGTGCATTAGACTCCCTGTTCCTTGCAGCAGCCCTTCTTGAAACAGAGTCCATCAATCACTTTCATGTGGATATACAGGTACTGCCCAGGACTTTTTCTTACGGACTAAAATAACTGCTGAAGCGATAGCCGTTAGCTCAGCTGAATTGGGAAGCTGACATGTAACTCCATGGAGTTGCGAGGGTCGAAGTGTTTCTTCTGTGCAGGCTACTCAGGGTAGACAGGTCTGTTTCATGGAAAAATCGACAGAATTTACATAGCACTCAACATTTTCATGGCCTCATCCGTGCACATTCTGTGCAACATCCATCCATCAGGGTAACTCAGGCATGCCTTAGCTAGTGAGCTGAGGTGATATATTGTTCCAGCCACAGAAATAATCATTATGGTAGCAATGAATAAATAGAGTCTACACAAATAGGGGGGTTTTAAACATTCCTCTAGCATTCCTAGCTTTGTCATCATGCAGTAATGTACCGCCCTGTCTTGAAAGGAGGCCAAAGTTTAAATCTACATAAGGTCATTCATGAATTTGGGTCTCGACTGTTCATCCATAATTTTGGAAGCCACTAAGGTGCATATTTAACAATCTTTGTCCAGAAAGTGGGTAAAATAGTGCTGTGCCCGATACTAGCCAAGCTTGTAGTTACTCTTTTAACAGTAACATACCACTAGAGATCAGTGTTGTTCATTGTTGGCATAGGACTGTGCATGTGTGCACACGCATGCACTCATTTACATAATACAATAAAGCGTTTTCTCTTTACACAGAGATCTCATGGATAAAAACAGACATTCAAACAGATCTTCACCGGCATCCGCTCCAGTGACCCATCAGATCAGCAACCTCATCCGCAGCAACAGCCAGACCTCCAGCGATCCCATCAGGCAGGTTAGCATCGGTGAAAGAGACAGGACAAAAGAACCAGAGAGAGAACACACTGACCGGCTGAGGGAGCCATCCATCACAGAACACAAGATAAAAGAGAGCCGTTCCCCAGTGAAGGAAACTCCAAGCCATGATAAGAGACCCTCAGAGGACAACACAAAGCCAGTAATTCAGTCTGTATCTCCTTACAGCAAACCTGCACTAAGTGAGAGCTTGAAACTTAGCAATTTAATGAACAAAGATATGGATAGAAAGACGGAGCTTTCAAGCGACCTCCAGAAGATGAAGAATGACATTAAGGTCAAAGAGGAGCGGAAGGAAGACAGCGATGTCCTGGTGGTGGGATCTGAACCATCCCAGCACTCCAGAACGGTGGAGCATCCCCCACCACCTTCTTTGCACGGTTTATCATTGCCCCACTCTATGGCTGCCACTATGCCTATCTCCATGGGCAGCGTCCACCAGATGAACAACATGAATGTTTTGGACCGCAGCAGAATGATGACACCTCTCATGGGTATGAATCCTTTGTCAGGAAGGGAGAGACTGCCACACCCTGGATTTTCTTGGGACCCAATAAGGGACCCCTTGCGAGATGCCTATCGGAGCTTAGACCTGCACCGTCGAATGGACTTTCAGCTCCGGACAGACCCCATCCATAGGTTCCCCGCCACCTCTGGGTTTTATGACCACGAGCGTTCTTACAGAGACAGGGAACCGCATGACTATAACCATGAAAACCTTCTAGAAGCCCGCCGAGAACAGGAGCGGTTGCGGCAAGTGGAGGAGAGGGAGCGCTTGCACTTACGGGAAGAACTTGAGCGTGCCAGAATGCACCACTTGCACTCATCCCCTATTGAAAGTCATCTGGCACATGTGCCATCCTTCATGCCTCATTTAAGTGGGATGCATTACCCCAGACTCAGTCCATCCACTGCCATGCACAATGGAATTTTAAATAGGAATCCACCAACTGCAGCATTGAGTGCCCCACCCCCTTTGGTACCAGCAAGCAGCACTAGACCTGCCTCCCCACGCAGGACTACCCCACTCACAAACTCCGAGTCCAGGGACTACTCCCCCTCTAGGAACCCCAAAGAAGTAGAGGCACGATAGTCCCCAACATGGTGAATTTTAAACTCGCCTGTATCATATAACAACAACAACAACAACAGAAATCTTTTACAAAATGCACTGCTGTAAACTTTTTTTTTTAAATGTAAAATTTGTAGAAGTTAAGCACAGTTCCATAAATAATGGGGTCAGGGGTTATAAACTTTCCAACAAGAAGGTTGCTGAGAATGGGAATTTAATATATAGGTATGGACTTTTTTTTCCTTTTTTTTTTTTGTTTCTGTGCTAAAATGAGTTAAAATATCAAGTTTGTACATTTTTTCCCAAATGTGAGAAGCATTTTTAATGGATTTGTATTTTTTTTAATTTTGTGCTCTTTATTCACTTAAAGAAATTTTGCTTTGTTTTTAGTTAAATTTGCATTTAAATGGCCTCAGATCCTTAAGAAAAATACCCAGGGTTTCATAAAAGTATTATTTATGGAAATACTGTAGTTTCTTACAGTCCACTGTGAGGTTCCCTTACTGAGGCCAAACGATTACTTATCTTGGTACTTTGGAACCGAAGTTACAGATATATATTAAAATATTAATAATAATAATAATAATGTACAAAACTTTGTTTTTTGCCTTATTATATTATGCAGAAATTTAAGAGGAATTTTTTTTGACTTCTTGTTTTAAACAAAAAAAAACAAAGACAACAAACTGTAAATATTCTGTTAATATAAATGTACACCAATATTAAATTCTTAACATAGGTAGACTTTATAAAAATGGTTTCTAGAACCACGCTGGTTATTTGTTACCATGGTTACAACTCATACTCTTGTCACAGTCAGAAATTCACACTCAGAAAGCTAAGTGCGGCATATATACTTCAACTATGCAAGAACTTGGAGGCAGGTCTTAGTGGATGTTGGGGGGAGGAAGGTTTAAAAAAAAAAAAAACAAAAAACACAAAAAACAAAAACAACCCCAAAAAAACCCAACTCGCAACTATGGAGACAGAATGGAAATGGCAAGTGAACAGGAAGAAGGATGCTTGTGTTTAACAAAAAAAAAAAAAGAGACTGAATTTTTTTGTACAAACACAAGGGACAGTTCGCCAAGGAGAGAGAGACAGAGAGAGGGGGAGAGAGAGAGAGACAGATATGCTCCTGGAAGGGGATTTTGGTTTCCTACTTTTCAAGCTGGCAAAAGCAGATGGAACTGGCACAGTACCATGTGGCAGACCCTTTCTTTAATTTTTTTTTTCCTTTTTTCCTCCTTTTTTTGTGTTGTGGGCAGGATCGCTGGCAAGCAAGGACAATTTTCTGTGGACCCCTTGTGCTAATTGTGCAGTGTTCTTATTGGAATCTGTATACAAGACAAAGTAGAATTTTAGGAGTGCAAAAAAAAAAAACGTCTAATGGTTGATTAAAAAAGCAAATTCTGATTATATTATCTATAGTACATGAAGACCATAAGCAAATGTTTGTTTCAGTGTGGTTCTGCCTTGAACTGCTTTTTGGCATGATTTATTTTTTATTTCCAATTTTACTTTTCATTCATATGTAAATTTTGCCATGTTTTACTTGCTGTACCATCCCCCCCCCTCCCTTATTTTATTTTTCAGTATCCATGTTTTATATATCCTGGGCTTTTACTCTCTAGTTAATTCAGCCATCCGCTACTATTTTCTTGACTCTGTATCTCGTTTCCCCCACCCCATCCTCCCCCCTGCACCCCCTGTAATTTTAAACATTCAGTTTCCTTGTAGATCAATGAAGATAAATACAACATTGATTTTGGATGAAAAAAGTAGTTGAGTGTTTGTGTGTCATAGCTAGTCCTGCCGACTTTGAGGCTAATGGTTTATTGACAGCTGTGCTGAGCACATTAATACAAGCAGTGCTTCAGTGGGTTCATGGCCCAGCCACTATGCGATAAAGGAGCTGTTGTTGTGGGACTTTTGTTCCACTTAAACCCTTTCCCTGGCTAGCATCTCTTTACCAAAAGAAACTTTCACACTGGCCAAGCATTTCACTCTTAGCATTCCTGACACTGTCCCACCACTCAGCACTTTGAGAGCTGTGGTATGTTCAGCATAAGCTTTACTCCATACAGTGGGGCAGCTTCTTAGGTGGCCATATTTTAATACAGCTGGTAGCTGGAATTGGACACTGTTTTAAAAATAAAATGAATAAACTGCGTGTCTCAGTAGTACACACGAGTTATGCCACCATGTCGATTGGTTTGATAAGAGGCTCCAACATCTGGGTGATCATAGGAAAAAAAAATACAGGTGCAAACTCTCTTCAATAGCTTCCTTGAAGACCATTGCTACTGGCCTACATTTAAGAAAGTCACAACCCTGAAGTTCTTTATGCATGTGCATTCTCATTTGCTTCCACAGATTTTCCCCCCTAGGCTGATATCAGGCATTTACAGGATGGGGAAATCATTCTGACACCTCTTTCTCTCCCCTCCCCGCCCCACACCCTGTAAATGAATGACTCAATATACAGGAATTATATTGAAGACCACTGTACACAGCTCCTCTTTTTTAAATTGGTACCTGACTAAGTTAGGAGTTTTAAAAAACAAGTTAACATTACATACACAGTCTTTACACTGACAAAAGGAGAGTGAAAATAAAATAGGCATTAAAATTCTGCACCTGCTTTCACAGCTCACCTAGGGGAAGTGCATCACACATGGTGGAAATGAGAAGTTTGCTGGCTTTGGAACAACAGAGAATGCTTCCTGGAGAGCGCTCTTTGGGCTTTATACATCATGGGTGCAAAGTGGCAAGGCTGCAAATGACTGAATAGAGCCTCAGAGCTGCCATGGCCTAGCCAACAGCCTGGTGGCAAGGGTGCTTCCATGGGAAGCAGGGGACTGAGGCTGAACCCTCATGAACAGGAGAGCTCTGGTCCCCTAGCTCCCATGTGAGTTCTCCCCTCCTCCTCCTCCTCGGTGCTTGCCTAGCAAGTGGCAGCTCAGGGATCTCAGCTGAGCTGGTCACCACAAACCTCACTGAACACCTGAAATGCTATGTGCAAGCCCTGCAGGTCTTGTCTTTTCTTTTTCAGCCAGGGGCTGGGCAATATGAAATTAAGCTCTCCACCCCAGGAGCTGAAAGCAGCTCCAGGACCAGAACTCAAAAGGCCCAGCTTCAAGGCAAAAGCACCAAGCCACCGCCTTGAAGAACCAAGTTCCTGCTAGGGCCCCCTCTCCTACCAGGCTCAAATTGAGCATCCTGGTAGCCTTGCTTCAAGAAGCAGCCAGGGCAGAGTGAGACATTGTCCCTGGGCTGCCTGTCTCAAGTGGTTACCAGATTGAGTGCTTACACAGGACATGTGAGGCCCCAGTTTTAGACTCGCCCCTCTCTGCTGCCCTCTTGCCCCTGAAAGCCTCGTCAGCAACAAGTAAGACCCAGAGAAATTGATGGATTACATTAGTGCTGTAATTCTCTACCCCGTCAGAAACTGATCTGCCACCTTGTTTGACCTACCTTTTACAGTGGAGACTGAGATAAGATTAGTATCTGATATCTCTAGTATGTTTGACAGAACTCAGGTCTACCTTTCGAATACACACAGTTGTCAGCAAGCTGATTGCACATGTTCGTTCCACAACATAGTAACATTTGGTCCGTGTAAGACTTAAGAAGGCCTTGATGCCCGGCTACAGGGAGACACCCAAGGAGTTACCTCTTACGTCTTGCACACGTGACTGGAGAAGAATTTGTTATGAGGGAGCTGGTGACAGATGGAATACCAAAAGGAAGTCAGCAGTTTGCCTTCTACTGTATTACAGAGCACGGCTGTTATGTCTTCTCATCGAGTCATTAATAATGCTTCACTAGTGTGGAATTCCACAGTGCTACAGATCAGTTTTCACAGAAATATAGTTCATTATGATTAATAGTATTGTTAACTAGACACAGAAACAAATTATCTCAGCCTTACTCCTTTAGTTATCCCACTGAACCTCCTCTTCCTAATAGAAAACTGTTACACAGGACCTTGCTAGTTACTTTGCTATTTAAATACCATTTTGCTTTCCACCCCACATACTTTTCATTCTTCAGATTTCACACATTGCCCAAGATATTTTCCTTACTCATTAGTACAGGGGCAGGCAATTATTTTGGGTGGAGGGCCACTTACTGAGTTTTGCCAAACCATTGAGGGTCTTATGACAGGCAGCCAGGGGCATATAAATATTAATTTTCTAAATTTTTTAGGAGCCCCGCAGGCTGGATAGAATGGCCTGGCAGGCCACATCTGGCCCCTGGGCTGCATTTTGCCCACTCCTGCATTAGTAAGTCCCCCCAAAGAACAAAAGACAGTTATGACTGGCAATGAGGAAGGAGAGGATGGGATTTAAGTTTCATTGCTTGCAAAGGACAGCATCCCAACTGGAATGCAGTTAGTTTTCCAGAACATGGTTTATTGGATATACTCTCTTCACTTAAGAAATACTGATACAGGCAATTTTTTCTTGCCTGTACCAACAAATAGTGAGGGGGTTAAAAAGTGAACTATGTATCTAGATTTTGACACACTAAGTAGAGACACTGGCTTAAGGAACAAAAACTAATTCCTGAAAAGTGCCTAAAATTATGCACAAAATAATTACCCATGACACATTTGTACCAATGATTTGTTCTAAGTTACAGAGCAAATTGTTATGGCACAGAACAAATGCGTGGGGAGCATCCACTCTACCTTTTCACAAGTCAAACTCTGATGTACACATGCCTAAGCATAGCATAGGTTATCAAATAAAACCTACCTGGCTTTGATTACCATTATTATTTTCTGGCTTCATTACGACTTCCAAGGTAACAAAGGAAAACAATCCTGGAGCCAAAATAACCAAAAATGGGAAGTCCCAATAGTATATAACAAGTCAGGAAAACTCTTTGAGCATCAGGGCCTCCTTTTCTAAGAGCCACATCAGCCTCCACCTTCTTCAGTTACTCTCTTGTTTGAACTAGTCAGACTTTGGGTTAGACTAGATGCCATTTCAAAGAAGAAAAAAAAAAAGATAATCTCACCAGTACGAAACACAAAGGCACCTTTTCACCAGTGTATACTCAAACCAAGAGGCATTGCCATTTCTACTTTAATATGAAATTTTAACACTTCCATTACTGTGTCTTGAAGAAATTTCTTAAAGTAGCCAACTCTACTGCACATGTGAAAATACACCTTCCTATCTAGGTTGCTTGTCTGAATTAAACTAGATTATTTTCCATGAGAAACAAAGTAATTTTAAATGATGTGGGAAGAAAGAAAACATTTCCAAAGCAGTAGACACGAAGAATTTAGCTGAGCAGCAGGCACACTGATAGGCTGGCTTAAAACTTGGAGATAAAGCCGGACAATTGTGGTTAATATGCAGAAAACACAGGGTGCATCTACACATGCAATTAATGCGACTGAATATGCTCCAGCTTAATTTGAGCCAAAGTAAACTAATCCCAACATCACCATCTACACATGCGTTTACGCGCAGTAATTTACAAGTGGTATCTGGCAGCGCATTAAATTAGTCTACTGCGTCCTAATTGTCACACGTGTAAATGGTGATGCTTTACAGTGCAGCATATTAGTCTGCTGTACAGTAGACGCACCCACTAACTTACAGACTTCCTAAGGAGTTAGCGCTAAGGGAAACTTTAACTAAATGTAGAACAGACGGGCTACATTACCTGTTGACCTAACCTTGGAGGTTTCTAATGCATTCAAGTATAGCTGGTGAACAGTCTTTAACAATGACTGATTTGATTAAAGGGATCGGTCCTTGGCCCTCTATCCTTGCGTTGACATCTTATTCCTAATCAGCCACTTCTCATGAATCAACTTCTCTCTCTTCTGACGGCACAGAAATCTACCTCTCCAAATAGTTTCACTTACCAGCTACCTCGGACACATCATCTGGCATTGCCTGGCTGAATGCAAAGGTGCCCAAAGAACTTATTTTTCCTTCCCCCTCATTTCTCCATTGTTGCACCGAACATCCAGGCAGGTTGCATTCTTGGGTCCATGATAATAATAAAAACACAAATATCCATTTCCTTGCTCTAGCTGATTCCTGCAGCCTTCTTGCTATATGCATGCCCTCTATTAAGAATGCTAAAGTGCTTTTCCTTCACTAGCCAGGATGGATTTCAGCTTCCCTCTGTACAATTTCTACTGCCCACTGTTTCCCCCCTTCCTGTCACCTGCCATATTGAACTCAAACTACCCTTCAGTGCCCTGAAATGTGCTGTTCCATTTTGGTCTCATTTTATTTCTTACATTTCTTCTTCAATCTTATGTTTCCTTCCCCCTTTCCAGCCAGTGGATTCTTTCCCTATTGTCCTTGCCCAGTCCCTGTATACCAGGTTCAGACCCTTCCCTTCCTTCA